TAACATCAGAGAACATATGAGTGTGAGGCTGTTAAAGACATTAGTATACCATATAGATGATGTTGGATAATCTCATCAGGAGAATGAGCATTACTGTCACAGGGAATATTGCAAGTCAGAAACTTTGCCTGATCAGCTCTGAGATAGAGAAAAACAAGAAATAAACAAGCTGGTTCTGAAATATTTTTTTCCACTAAGGAGTGGTTGGGGATTACCCAATTACGCAAAGATTAGGCAAGAATGTTGCTGTGTTCAGTGCTTCCTAAACCAGAGCTTACAGTGTATTTCCACTTTTGCAGCCAAATGGGGATATCATCTACCTAGTTAAATATTTGTTACATGTTCTCATTCACATAGCATAAATTATTTAAAAATTGCTGCTTACATATTACTTGCTCTTTCCTGAAAGATAAGTTTTTCTCTAAACTGAATTTTCCTCTGGCATGCAAAGGGGCTGTGGAGTTAATGTTTCCAATAATGAACCCTGTCTGTACTCTTTTGGCAGATCTAATTATTGGTTGTAAACTAGATTTGAACACTGTCTAGCCTAACAAAGGGTTAAAGATCTAAAAGTATTGTATGCTAATGAGAGAAAGCTTAGTGTGCCCCTACTCTTTTTATGGTACAGCCAGATTTTCCTGTCACTTTTCATTGGGGCACACATTTTTGAGTCCTAAAATATTTTATATCTCTTTACTCACAATCTCATCTGTTACAATTGGGAATTAAATTGTGTTTGCGTGTACTAACATTTTTTGCATGCGTTTTTAACTTAAAGGGGTTCTAAACCCTCCGTTTTTTTTTTTTGCCTATATAAGCAAGAAGTTTAAAAAAAAAACAAAAAAAAACGCTTGAACTAGTTTTAAACTTACCTCGTTATCGCTGCTCGGTCCCGCGCCGAGAATCAGGAAGTGATCTACGGCCGCAAAGGATCTTGGGGTGGGCGCATGCACAGTTCCGATTCTCGGCCGGGAGACGAGCAGAAATCTTCAGGCCTAAAATGTAAATTTTAATGTGTGCAAAGAATGTTAAAAAGTCTGACAGCGAAAGGGTTAAACACATCATGAATATAGAGCAGCCTTTCTTAACCAGGGTGTCATGGCACTCTGTGGTGCCTTCTTCCTTCCCCTGGCGTGCCTCAAAATTTTTGCACAGCGTCATGTCTTTGCATGGTGCAGGCAGGCCCGCCAGAGGGGGACTCTGATATGAAAGGAAGGCTTCTGATGTGAAGGGGGGACTCTGAAGTAAAGGGTGGTATTCTGGTGTAAAAAATGGAGCTCTGATGTAAAAGGGGGGACTTGTGTAATGTAAAGGAGGGACTTGTGATGTATAGAGGAGACGCTGATTTGAAAGAAGAGATTCTCGTGTGAAGGAGGGGGGCACTCTGATGTAAAAATAGGGGGGCTGCTGATGTGATCAGGACTCCTGATGTAAAGGGGGGCAGCAATGTCAAAGTCAGGATTCTGAAGGGGGCTTCTGGTTTGAATAGGGGAAACACCTTTTTTGTGTGTTTTTGCATGTGGCCCCCTCTTAAAACCCATCTGAGACCCCTATCTGGGATAAGGGTCTATTATGGATTTTGACGGGGTACACATCATTTTTTGTATATTTTAGTGTGGGGTGCCTCGAGATTTTGCATACTTTTAAAAGGTGTATCCACAATCACAAAATAACCAAACCTTATCCAGGTATGCAAGGATCTGGAAAGGGGGGCTTTTTAGAAACAATGTTGCTCCCACAGTGAACTTTGTATATGCTAAAATTATTTATTATTCACATAAGATTAAAAACAAAATATGTTGTCACGAATACAAGACTTTTCTTCATCTGGGTGGCCACTCGCTGACTGGTCAATGCCAAATTGCAGGTCTATTTTTATATATTTCTATTTATTCTATATTATTTTTTGATATATATATTTCTTTTTTGTATATTGTTTTTGTGTTGTCTGTACTTAATGTTTGAATACCCATCAATATAGCTATTGATTTGGTATGTATTGATCAGTTTTCTTTAGGATCAAAATCCTCCTGCGGAAGCCTTAATTAGGCGAAGCATGTTGAGCCATCTAAAGAAAAACGTAATCTGCTCAACTGCTTATGACTAATTCGATCATTGCAATATGTTGTGCTATCATTTGGATGATATATATCTCTGTACCAAGTCTTGTATTCGTGACAACATACCGTATATACTCGAGTATAAGCCGTCCCGAATACAAGCCGAGGTACCTAATTTTAGCAAAAAAAACTGGGAAAAAGTATTGACCTGAATATAAGCCGAGGGTGGGAAATGAGGCAGCTACTGGTAGATAGATACCAATAAAATGACATTAATATTTATTTAAAAGAAAAATAACCTAGCTCTGTAAGTGGAAAAGGGGGTACAGGGCTACATACAGATCATTTAATACATTCATGTTAGTATAATTGTAAATGTATTGTCTGCACTGTATTAGCAGTATATACTCTATATAGAGTATATACTGCTAATACAGTGCAGACAATACATTTACAATGATCCTCTGCTAACATGAATGGGTTAAATGATCCGTAGTACATGATATGTAGCCCTGTACTATGGATCATTTAACCCATTCATGTTAGCAGAGGATCATTGTAAATGTATTGTCTGCACTGTATTAGCAGTATATACTCTATATAGAGTATATACTGCTAATACAGTGCAGACAATACATTTACAATGATCCTCTGCTAACATGAATGGGTTAAATGATCCGTAGTACATGATATGTAGCCCTGTACTATGGATCATTTAACCCATTCATGTTAGCAGAGGATCATTGTAAATGTATTGTCTGCACTGTATTAGCAGTATATACTCTATATAGAGTATATACTGCTAATACAGTGCAGACAATACATTTACAATGATCCTCTGCTAACATGAATGGGTTAAATGATCCGTAGTACATGATATGTAGCCCTGTACCCCCTTTTCCACTTACAGAGCTAGGTTATTTTTCTTTTAAATAAATATTAATGTCATTTTATTGGTATCTATCTACCAGTAGCTGCCTCATTTCCCACCCTCGGCTTATATTCAGGTCAATACTTTTTCCCAGTTTTTTTTGCTAAAATTAGGTACCTCGGCTTGTATTCGGGACGGCTTATACTCGAGTATATACGGTATTTTGTTTTTAATCTTTTGTGAATAATAAATAATTTTATTATATACAAAGTTCACTGTGAGAGCAACATTGTTTCTAAAAAGCCCCCCTTTTCAGGTCCTTGCATACCTGGATAAGGTTTGGTTAATTTCTGATTGTGGATACATCTATATTACTGGGGTGCAAAACTTTGCTCTCCCTTTTCTCTAACGTGCGCCCAAAAGTGTTCAAATTTATACTTTTAAAGAGTGTCTTGACTGCAAAAAGGTGGAGAAACGCTGATCCAGAGAATGCTCTGCTTAATGTCTGACACAAAATAAAGTGGAGCCCCATACAGGTGCAAAGCAAAGATATAATACAAAAGGTAAACTGCACTTTTTCCCCTCTAACATAAATTTTACACATATATTAAAATCATAAATGTCACCAATACATGGCAGCTTAGAAGGTATTTAGGTAATTGGTAAGCTGTCTAAAAACAGAAATATATGCTACTTACCAGATATAGTACATTGTCTTAAGATAGTAATATCACCCCACAAAAGGCAGCGAAAAGACCAAATTAACACAATAACAAGGTGTAGATAAAGTTGAAAGGAAGAACGGAGAATATGTGTTAGTAAATACAGGAGTTTCAAATAGGAAGTAGGTGAATGGCTACAAGTGAAATGAGGAAATAGAATGATCACAACACTGTTCTTTGTGATAATGTGCAAACCACCAAAGAAGAATATGTAACATATGTGAATATATCTTTTGTACAAAGGTTCTTCCTTCCAGGGTAAATTATTTATACTCTTACAAAAATATATTTGGTAGACAAATTAATATGGAATTCAGGAGGCAGTCTTTCCAATCCAGTAGCTATTAGGAATTTTTCTAGTCAATAGAGCCAGCTCTATTGACAACAACTAGGCGACAACCTTAAAAGTTAAGTAGTGAAATATATCACCAGCACACCAAAGTAAAATCTTCATTTATTCTACATTTTATTAATGTACACACATCTCATCATAGGCGACAACCTGAAACGTTAGGATGATTGTAAAGAATGTCACCAGCACACCGAAGATCTTTCAAGAATCACCAAATGTTAATTTTACTGAACAATTTTGTCAAATGGAAACAAGCGCTTTTGGGACCTCGCAGTGTCCCTTCATCAGGCTCTGACATTGACAAAGTGCAAACCAACCATGTGAGTTTAAATAGACAGACACATGTGCAACGACCCTCAGAACTGCCCACTCACACACCCTCTTATGACATCATAGTTTTATGTAACATACTTGATAATGCATGTGGAAAACATCAAAAAACTAAATAAAACATGGTAGCCGGAGACAATCATAATTCATTGTGTATCAATGCCCTTATTGTAAAGAAATGATCAGCAGAAATCATAATAGAAAGGGGTCACATGTACCAGGGTGCCTTGTGCGTGGATAACTCACGTTTTGAAACAGCTGTCTAGTTGTTATGGATACCTGGACGCTGTCCTCCAGATCCGTGCAGCCCGTATCAAGCCGTAGCCGCTAGCGCATGCGTCATGCGGACAATGGGCCAATCATGGTCATAAGAGGGAGGAGCCGAGACGTGACTGCATAGTGTATGGCGTGGTCCTTCGATGTATCCGAATGGAACGCACAGGCAGTGTCCCTAACCATGGTAACAGTCCGTCGTTTGCTTATTCACCCGCAGGACCAAATGACAGCTTGAAGGGTAGGCGGGCCGGTACATTTATTAAGGGCAGATGATAACCTTAAAAGTTACACACCAGCTGTAATTTTTAAGAGACATTGGTGACCTGGCTCCTGGGATTTGTCCAGCCCTTAATTAAGCTGCACTGAAAGCACAAAACCCTTTCACATACCTCCCAACTTTCAGAGATGAGAAAGGAGGACACCAGTACTCAGGATGAGTATGTCCGCCACTGTATTCTTCCTTGCTTCCTTGATCTTTAGCTCCCTGTTTCCCCATTCACTAGTGGAGACTCGATTGTAGGCTGAAACAAACTCTGCTTTATTGAGAAAGTGTGCAACCTTTTATACAGAGAGCGATCAGATCAGATTATAAACCCATCACATCCACCCTGCCCTCCCCAGACATATTCTGACTGCACAGCCCAGCAGGGGTCCACCTGCTAAAGAGCTCCAGACAGCCATAGCAGTAGCCTGTCCAGAATGTCAGTGTCCTGAGCTCCTTCAGAGTACAAAGGGAGATAAATGTGTAACTTTTAAAAAATAGGGGGGGGAAACTTTAAATTTTTTTTCTATTTTTTTTTTCACTTAACTTTATTGCTATCATAGAGGGGGCTGAGAAACCCCTAGTCGTCACACAGACCACTACCCATATGCCAAAAATGATTGGTTAAACCCAGAATTGCTTTATTTTAACTATCAATTTTCCTTTATACTGGCTTTTCAAAATACGAAGAAGATAATTAGGAGACAAGGTGAAGCTTTTAGTGCAGAATAACACTTTTGGGAGTTAAATAGAACTTTTTTCATTTTCAAATTTTTACCGAACAAATGGAAAAGAGAAGCTGATTGGTTGCCATGCACTGCTGTTCCAGATTTTGTCTGCTCCAGTTTTGATGAATTCCCCCCAGTATCTGTACATCAGACCAAAAAAAAGGACAACTGAGGAGGAAAGAGGGTCAGAGGGTTCCAAATAGGGGACAGTTAGGAAGTATGCTTTGTAGGATCAGAACTACTTTTAGCAATCCATAATTTAAAATTAAACCGAGATTCAAGTGATCCCGGAGTTCAGCTTTAATTGTGCACAGAGTCTTATTGGGACAATATTGGGGGTATTTCTACAGCCAGTGACAACCAATGTTGGGGGCGGTTTAAAAGCCAGGCAGTAACAACCAAAATTGGGGGTGGTATTGATACAGCCAGCCAGTGACCACCAATGTTGGGGGGGTATTTGTTACAGCCAGCCAGTGACCGCCAATGTTTGGGGTATTTTTACAGCCAACCAATGACCACCTGTTTGTTTAACCATGCCCCTTTAAGACGCTCCAATTGTTAGCATAATTTTGCCACACCCACCATTCGGCAGAGGGCATTGCATGCACTGCTTTTTTTACTGGTTTTTTTAAATTCTTTATTTGTAAGCAAAAGAGTACGGTACAGAATGCTGGAACAGAACACATATGAGCCCTGAGGTGAATCCGATACATATTTTGTCATAGATCTCTAGCTGCATGAGTATAACAGTTACAGGGTAGGTACAGATCTGCACATCGTCCACCGCGTATCTGCCCCACCATCTGCACCCCAACCCTCAAGGTATTTTCCTTTTACACACAAATAACCAAACCTAGAACACTAACATGACTCACGGGCGGTCACCCCACTATAGGAGCAGACCATCCCATATGTACAGAAAGAAAGCGAGCAGAAGGGACAGAATGACACAAGAAATCAACAAATACAGGACACTACAGAGAGACAACGGTTAGGATAGAAGGCTGCGCTCGACCCAGGGCCCCATCTCTGTTTCGGGTCTATTCCCTACAGAACTGCAAGTATTCCGGGGAGTCTTTGAATTGATACCACGCTGCCCAGGTGACCACAAATTTATGTTGAGACCCCCGTAGTGAGGAAGTCAGGTCCTCCATCAGTCTAATCTCCTCCATCCACCTCACCCACATCCCAGTGGAGGGTTGTTTGGACTGCCTCCATAGGGCTGGAATACACGCCCAAGCCACGTTCAGCATGTGGATCAGTAGGGAGCGCTGATAGGCTTTCCGTTATAGTGGAGCCAGGTGGAGGAGAAACACAGAGGGAGTGAAATGTATTGAAAGGCCTGTAATCTGTACTATCAGAGCAGCAATTTTGGACCAGAAGGGAGCCACCCTGGGGCACTCCCAAAAGATGTGCATAAAGGAACCCTCCTCCTCCCCACATAGTCAGCATATCGCAGGTACCATGGGATACATAGCATGCAGCACCTGGGGGGGGACTCTATACCATCTGGTCAGCAGTTTGTAGCCAGCTTCCTGGTATTTATTTGACACAGAGGAGAGCAAAATGCAGCAGGTCTACTTGTGTAGGACTGAACTCGATATCCAAATTGAGGCCCACTGTCTGACAAAGTAGAGAAGAGGGAGATCCGGTGGGTTACGCATACTGTCCGCTAAAAGAGACAACATATGTCTCACTAGCTCCGCCCTCTCGCACAATTTTTCGAATTCTGTCAGTTGCCCTAGACGTGCATAAGTAGTGGCACACCTTCAGGGCACTCCAGAGCCGTAGGGGGGATCTTTCTCCAGCAATTGGGCGGTAGCTTCTGGTAAACGGGGCATTGCGATTCAGTCAGGTACGTTCTAATCACCCGGGTCCGCACCACCGGGTCGGTCGGTCCTGTGGTAGTGTGCAGATTATGCAGGTCTGTGAAGGAGTGAAATTGTTGGGCAATTTCCTTAGAGCGGGATAACACTTGACCCCCGGGTGTATGTGTGCATGGTATGTAGGTACGGGATCGTGAGTCTCTCAGGGCCGTGGCAAGGAGCTTCCCTGGTTTATTCCCGAATTTGTAGAACGTGCGGCGTGTTCTCATCAGTTGGCCCTTCACCCTGTCTAACATAAGCTCATTGCGTTCTGCTCGAGTTTTGGTCAGAGAAGCCAGAGTCTCCTCGTCCAAAGCCACCCTGTGTCGGAGCTCCAGTCGTCGCAACTGGGCATAGAGCTCATCTACCGCTTGCGTATGGACCCCAATTTGATCAGAGAACCCCTTATTACACATTTATGTGCCTCCCATAGAGTGAGTGGGTCTTGGGATGGGGAGTCGTTGTCTCTAAAGTAGTTGAAGAGATCCGTCTCAATGCTCGCACAATCTGCTTCGTCTTGTAACAGAGTTTCATTAAGACGCCAAGTGAATGGTGAGCGAGCGTTCCCACCTATCGTCACACCTATGTGAATGGGGCAATGGTCAGATAGGGAAGAGGTCCCTATGGATACCTCGGTGATGAGAGGCAGTGTCGCGTGCTGCATCAAGAAGAAGTCTATGCGGGAGTATGATTGATGTGGGGCAGAGTAGTGTGTGTAATCCCTACCTGTGGGTTCGCAGATGCGCCAGGGATCCACTAGTTGAAGGTCAAACATTGACCTCTTCACCGGAGAGGAAACACCTCAGTTCTGGGGAAAGAAGCTGAACACAGAGATGAACAGAGTTAACCCCGAAGCATGTAAACACTCTTGAATAACCACATACCCTGAGCAGATCAGCCGGTATATCAACACTCACTGAGGAGGTTCATTCTGTCTCGGCAGCTTCACAGCTGGGTGTCGAGATAGAATGATAAAACATTTCAAAATACCCAAATTACCCCCCCCCCCCCCCCCTTTCGGGGCCGATTT